TATCAGGCATCAAAGACCCAGAACAAAATCATATGTGAATGAGAGGAAGTGCAGATTGCAGACCCAAAGCCCATCTGTAGACAACTGGACATCTCCTCACAGAAGGGTCACAAGGAAGAGACAAGCCAGTCAGGGTGCAGTATAGCACCAATGAAACATACAACTTTCCTCTCGTTCATTCATGTCGTCGTCATCCCCCACTATCATGACCCCAATTCAACCTTACAAATCCGGCTAGACCAGAGGTTGTACACTGGTACAGATAAGAGCTGGAAACACAGGGAACCAGGACAGATAAACCCTTCAGGACCAACAATGAGAGTAGCGATACCAGGAGGGTCAGGGGAAGATGGGGGAAGAAAGAGGGAACAGATAACAATGATCTACATATAATCCCCTCCCAGGTGGAAGGACAACAGAAAAGTGGGTAAAGGGAGACATCAGTCAGTGTAAGACATGAAAAAATAATAATAATTTATAAATTATCAAGGGTTCATGAGGAAGGGAAAAATGAGGAGCTGCTACCAAGGGCTCAAGCAGAAAGCAAATGTTTTGAAAATGATGATAGCAACAAGTGTACAAATGTGCTGAATACAATGAATGTATGTATGTATGAATTGTGATAAGAGCTGTATGAGGCCCCAATAAAATGATTTTTTTTTTTTAAAGAAAGAAAAGAAATGCTCCGGATACAGATCTTCTGTCAGGACATGTTACAAAGTTCCTTCATGGCTGCTAACGAATGCCCAAAGGGAATGCCACTCCACTGTCAGCTTCAACCCCAAAGCATTCAGCTCACGCTCCATGGGTCTGCAAGCCCAGCGCCAGCAACCCACCCCCAGTGAAGTGCCCACCCATAAGCCAGCCTCCTGCCCGAAAGCACTCAGCTTTACTTGCTCCATGGGCTGGGAAGTCCACCACTCTTCCTTGTGCTCTGCTTTCTCGTTCTGTTGCTGTTGCAGCTCTGCCACTCAGCACATGCTGAAGCTGTCTCCTAGATCAAGGAGGTTCACTGCACGCTGTCTTCTGGATCAAGGAGGTTCACTGCACGCTGTCTTCTAGATCAAGGAGGTTCACGTCATGCTGTCTTCTAGACCAAGGAGGTTCACTTCACGCTCTCTTCTTCTAGATCAAGGAGGTTCACTTCACACTGTCTCTAGATCAAGGAAGTTCACTTCACGTTATCTTCTTCTAGATCAAGGAGGTTC